GCGCGTCTTCCTCGTGCCAAGTCAGTTATGATCTGACGGCGTTATGTAGGATGCACTGATGGGAAGTGGTACCAGGGGCAGTTAGCGCCTACTGACGACGGCGGAGCGTGTGAGTGTGGCTCAATCGAACGTCGACCCTTCTGACCGCTTCGTAGTGGGCACGCTCACCGATATCAGCAATCAGCGTATGTTTGAAGCGGCGCAGCTGGAGCATGCGCGTGAGCGAGAGGCCACTGCCAGGAGGAAAGCTGAGGAAGCTGAGGATAGGCGACAAGAGGCTGAGCAGCGGCGACGCGGTCAGGGTGCGTATTGCCCCACTCAGAAGACCACCATGAGTACTCACCGTTGCTGCAGAGCTTTTGATCGACGTCACGTCCCACGAGCTGCGGCAGCCAGTCTCGGCGATCTTGAACTGCAGCGGGCTCGTTCGCACGAATATGGTCGCCTTGCTTGAGCACATACAGGGCGCGAAGAGTGGCGCGGGTGTCGTGCTCACGGCCGAACAACTGGACTCCATGCGCGAAGATGTCGAGGCGTTGGACGCCATCTATCAATGCGGCCTTGCGCAAGGTACAGAGTACGATGGTCGCATAAGAGCGACGCTAACGATGTTGTAGAGCGAATAGCTAACGATGTGCTCTCACTGTCGCGTATGCAGCTCGATTCGCTGAACATCCAGGCTGTTGACTTTGAACTGGTGACGGAGACTCAACGCATTGTGTCGATCTTCCGCAATGAGGCCAAAATGCATGTAATCTCCGTGCCTTCATGGGTCGTGGGCTGACAGCCATTGCAGGAAGGAGATCAACCTCTCTGTCCACTTCGGGGAGTCATTGGCCAACCTCGGTGTATGCGTGGTGAGATCGGACAAGAGTCGATATGCGCAAGTGATGCACGTATTCTCTTTACACAAGAAAGCTACAAACAGCAGTACTGATGCTTCTGCAGCACTAACCTCGTGAGCAACGCAATCAAGTTCACCGACAGTTCCCCGAACAGGCGGGATATTCGGGTAGATATGGAGGTCAGCCTTCTCCCTCCAGACGACGAGGATAGCGCGGCGTACCCTAGAGTCGCGCGTCAGAATGAGCGTCTGAGCAATGCTAAGCTCGCATCGGGCACAAGACTATATATCTATGTCTCTGTCACGGATTCGGGACCTGGCCTGCAGCCAGACGACTTGGCAGTTTTATTCAGGCGGTACGCGCAGAAGCTAATAGTGGTATCTCCCGCTCAACAATACCTCAGATTCCAGCAAGGGTCACTCGCGGCCAAGTCGGACGTGTTTGGAGGTTCCGGCTTGGGCTTATTCGTCTCACGAAAACTTTGCGACCTGATGGGTGGGCGGATAGCGGTACGGTTTTCATTTGTTAGCAAGACATCACTCAAACATCGTGCAGGTTCAAAGCGAACTTGGCAAAGGCGCTGTGTTCAGCTTTTTTATTGAATCCTTCGCTGCGTCGGTGTCCGCGTCACCAAATGGCTCGGGACAGCGCTCGCCACCTGCGCTGTCTTTATCGCGGGTGACATCACACGGAGAGATGCCGATGCCGAATTTCGCACAATCGCCACTGCGCGTCCTCATCACCGAGGACAACCTCATCAACCAGGTGGGGCCATTTCGTTGCTTGTTCTGACGAGTTGCTAACGTCCGTTCGCAGAGAGTGTTGAAGTTTGTGAACCGTCATTCTTGTCGATGTTAAGCTTATGTCGCTCGCCAGCCGCCAACTCGTCAAAGCTGGCTGCACGACCGTATTGGCAAACAACGGTCAGCAAGCGCTCGATTGCTTGACATCCGCCGGTCAGCCCTTTGATGCCGTCCTTGTAAGGCCCACGTTTAGCCTTGTCCACGCGCGCTAGGCTAATTGAGCTGCAGATGGACATCGAGATGCCGGTCATGGACGGCATTGAGGCCGTGCGTCGCATTCGGCAAATGGAGGCAGATGGCGAACTGCGCGTCCGAAATCGAGTCTATGCTCTTACGGCAAACGCACGAGAGGGCCAGGTGCGATTAATCAAGGAAGCGGGCATGGATGCAGTCCTGGTGCGTCGCAGTCTGAGACGTGTGTAATGATGACGGACGGTGGCTTCTCAGATCAAGCCCTACCGGATCGAGGATGTGATCAAGGCTATCCGAGGCGTCTACTCCCCCTAACAAGGCTTCACCTCATCTTCCTTGCTTCATCCTTTCTCGCTCTGTTTCTTTCGGGTTTGATGAGTTCTCGTGGGCTTTTTCGTGATATATACCTGGTTGTTTTTGGCCAAGTATGGCACGTATATCTTTCACTCTGAGGCTTTCCGACTCGGACATGTAGCTCGGGACCTACGCCTTCTTCATGTGGACTTTCGCATCACTCTTCTCATACATACGCATTGTTGTCTTGTTTCCTATATACGCACGCGCTTTGTCACTCATGGTCTCATACGCTCATACCTCCACACTTGTAACACACGCATACCACACAGTCATAAGTACGCACACACGGCTCTTCTTGTAGCATCGTCTGCATCCAGTGCACTACGTATAGCATAATGTAGAAACCCTTGTACTCATACAGACCTGCAGATATATCATAGACATCTTTCTCTACCTTAGATGAGTGACTGAGGAGTTTCAGTGATAGTTGAAAAAAGATGTAGGCCGGGGTAGGTAGGTAATAGGTAGGTAATTGTTATTCGGGCGGTGTCCCTGAACAGAGACGACCCTATCCGCACTGTAGACCTCGAGCAGCAATCTAGTCTGCGGAACACATGTACAACTTAGTAGTCCGCATGCCACGACCCCCAACCCGTTGAAGGTATCCACCGGCGACTGCAGAGGCAGTTCCAGCCCATGAACCCCAGCGCATGCATGCGAGCGACTGCAGAGGCAGTTCCAGCCCGCACACAGCGTCAACGCAGTCGGTCCGCATATATACACCGCGGGAGGGGTGGACGTGACGTACGGACTTATATTGAGGTGTTCGCGGGCCGACGAAGCAGACTGCACGCTCCCGTGCATGACAAGGCCACCATTGAGGTCGATGCTTCGGACTCAGATCTAGGATCCACTGCAGTTTTTACTGGTTTTCTTGAAGACTTTCACTTATAACGCTCGCACCACCAGTCGCAGCCACCGCCGGCAGCTGATTTAGTGATACTACTAATAGAGGTTGCGTTTCGAACGAGTTTGCGGTCACGTTCACGCCGAGTCCCCACGGCTTCTCTTCAACCATCACACTCGGAGCCTCCAACCCGGATCGTTCAATAGGCTAGCTTCCCGCAGTTCAAGGACTCGCTGCATACGAGCGCAGAGCTTGCGGACTGCGACTCTCTACTGCTTGTCTTGATATCCGACCTGCATGTCAACTTGAATAGCGGAGGCGCCAACTTGCAGAGCTGCAGCCAATTGAAGTCGACCTTCCTAAGGTCCTCTCACGTCGTCCCGTACCTCTTTAGCTCAGCACAAACATTACACGCCCAACCCGCGAGACATCTACACTCACTAGTCCTCCTTTCGACGTCGGGGTACTACCAACAGGATGACAGCGAGAGGTGTGACATGTCCCACCCTATACACGACTTCCCCCCAGAACTGCTTGCCGAGATCCTATTGCATACTTTCCAGGAAGTCTCATTCCATCGAAACCAATCTTCCCTCGCCGGTGGACCAGTCGCTGCGAGCGCAGTCTGTAGCTACTGGCGCCGCGTGGCGCTCGCATACCCAAATCTGTGGTCCAACATACGCGTCACGATTGCCCATCCGGACGATTCTTCTGCAATTGTAGAAGCAATCGAAGCGCGCATCGCTCGCGCGGGCGCTCATGCCCTCTCCATCGAATATCTCGAGATGGGCGAACCAGGCGGATGCCCTGCACTCGACGCACTCCTGACGCACAGTCGTCGCTGGGTTAAAGCAACGCTCACTCTTACATATACGCCCCTCGTGCGACTGGTGCCCGTGCACAACGAGATTCCCCTCCTCCGCACAGCCTCCGTCTCAGCGCTGCTCATCGCTACATCTGAGATGGGCGAGACGCCCGAAATGCAATACATATTCTCGAACGCGCCCCTCCTTTCCTCGTTCGCCTTCAGTGCATCCAATGGCGAAGCGGCCGCAGAGCTGCCTTTCGTATTGCCCTGGCAGCAACTCATACGGTACGAGGGTCCGCTTCTCACTGCCGCAGATCCGCCTCGCTATGCGCGCCATCTCTTGAAGCACGCGCAGGTGCTCTCAGTCACGGACGCTACCTCGTTCGTTTCTCCCACTGGGCGCACGGAGCTCCCTGCGCTACGCGTTCTCAGCGCTAACGCGCAGGCGCTGGCGGGCCTTCGGGCGCCCGCACTAGTCGAGCTACGTGTGCGCGGCAGCTGCGATAGTACGGACGTCCTATACCTGCGTGGCTTCCTCGTGTGGTCCCGCTGCACGCTGCGTACGCTGTTCATGTATGCTGTTCTGCTAGAGTCGGACGGGGACGCGCTCGTGGACGTATGCGGAGAGGTGGAGGATTTGATCTGCACTCTGGGAACGGAGAGCACGGTGTGGCTTGGGCTCTTGCCGCGGCTGCGCAAGCTCACTGTCCTCGTCGTCGCAGAGGGAGTTAGGGGTGCGGCCTCAAATTTCATCAGGTCGTGCGCGCTGGCAGACATCCTTCGTGCCCGCTCAGTGAACCAACCGGAGCTGGTGAAGATCAACTTGTGGTTCAGTGAAGATTGCTATGAGGCCGTCGATAGGAATGCTCTATATGAGCTGGTCTGCTTGGGCAGTGAGTGTGGCGTCAGGATGCAGTACGATGTCTTTACATGTGAACACGAAGAACTCATGGACACTTGGATGACGGTATGATACCTACCGTATTGCAAGCTCACATTAATCATGATGGTATCTTGTCACCGTGCGAGGTGAGCAGTTCCGGCAATTGTTGTCAGTACAGAGCTAAGTATAAGCGGCCGCCGTAAGTACATTCCCGAGCGATGGAAACAATTTGCACACTTGACCAGCACTATTGGAAGGACCGCAAGGCGAGATGGCCGAGCGGTCTAAGGCGCCAGACTAAGGATCAGTCAACATCTGTTGACAACCGTGGGAATAACCTTCCTAATCTGGTCCTCCGGGGCGTGGGTTCGAATCCCACTCTCGTCACAATTTTTCCAGAATTTACTGGATTTTTCCTGGCTCGAGGGAGCCTCGAGGAAGGTTGAAAACCGCGTAAAATTTCGAGCAGGAGGAGACGCGTTGTCAATACCTTCCTTTTTGGGACGGTCCTAAAGGTTTTCCCACGATTTTCAAAGTCACTTTTTTGGCACGTGTGGCGCTGTCCAATTGGCTGAGGCGCTGCAGGCGGAGCGACTTCGAGGTCCACATTCTCTCTGAACCGTCCTCTTCTGCCACAGGTCAACACAGCGAGTTGAAGACGAGTGCCCCACCCGTTCGTATGTTTAGTCGTTAACTGCTATCCACTGCTTCCAGGAGAATTCTATGTAGTATATCAAGCACTAGTACAGAGCGCAGACAGAACAGTGGCCAGATCGTTATGGGGAAAGAGCGTGTTCCACTCTACGGCAGGGCCATGACACTCGCATGCGCGCACATGGTCATCATACAACTACGATTGCAGTAGTAAGCCGCAAAGCAGGTTGGGGGGTGGTATATGGAACTATGCGCTGGCGAGAAGGTCCGTCTGTCCTGCGTAACTACGTGTAGAGTAAAGAGAAAGGTCATGACGAGTGAGCCATGTAGGGCCTGACCGAACAGTCCCTACATAGGCCACAGCAAGCAAGCAAGTCTACGCCCACGCCGCGTCCATCTGCGCAGCAAGGGCGGCCCGCTCCCGCAGCCCCGCTCAATCGCGATCGCTGCTGCTGCTGCCGAAAATCTTGTTGAGCGCGGTCTTGACCCACGACTCGGCGTCCGGTTCGCGGAAGCCGAGCTCGCGGCGCGCGTGCTCGCCCGTGCCCCTGCGCGCGATGTTGATCTCGCGCTTGCGCTGCGTGACCAGGGAGTCCGGGTCGATCGCGACCTCACGGAGGCTCGTCTTCGGCAGCATATTGGGCGTGGTGGAGAGCAGGTACTGCGGCGGGAGCGGGGAGCCCGCGTAGTCCCACAGGCGCAGGCGGTACCCGCGGGTGACGTCCTGGTCGATGGTCCACTTGGTAATAAGCTCCGTGTAGTTGAAGTTTTCGACAAAGTTGGACTCGGCGGCGCAGGGGTCCTGCACTTGCTGGTAGCCGTCGCCCAGCGGGGTGAGGACGATGGTGCCGTTCGACTCGAGGGTGTACTGGCCGTGACACCAGCTCATGACGCCGGTGATGCAGTTCGGCTGCGAAGCTGTGGGAAGGGGTCAGCTGGCAGAGCGGTGCTGGGAAAGCGGCCGACGGACCATTCGAGTTGAAGCGGTAGCGCGCGATCTCGTAGTACATGTCCTCCGAGCTGAGGGAGATATCAGCGATTCGTCTCCTTCCCAGGGAAGGGAGGTGCGTACAAGGAGTAGGAGACGCCAGTAACGTCGGGATACGTAAATGACGCATTGGCGGGTGTCGCAAAGCCCTGGTATCGTATCAGCCTTGAGCATCCCCAGAGCAAGAGCAGCACGCACAGATCCCGTCACGACCTTGCCGTAGCCTGACGCCCAGGTGCCGGTGATGGCGGTCGAGTTGTGGGCTGCGTTCAGGACGATGTCCTGACCCTGGACCTGGACCAGGGAGGCGAGGAGAAGAGCGAACGCAGATGAGAGCTTCATGATAACTTGTAGCGGATAGATCAGAGCCGGTGGCGTGTGATGGAGGAGGCCAGAACCGGCAGCGCCAACGTTGTCAACGACGACGGCGGGGAATGGGAATGACGAAAGAGAAAGGAACGACTTTGGTTTTGTTTGGCGGCTGCCTGCGGACTCCGGCAACAGAGCGGCCGCATCTCAGTTTCCCACGCCTCAATCTGCACTGTTCGACTTTTTTCTGTTTACCTTAGTTGCCGAAGTACTTCTGGCTCTTCGTAGACTCAGAACTGTGATAGGAAGCACGCTAGGGTTAATGTAGCAGTCGAGGACAAGTAGAAGGGCCTGCAACCAACATCACGCAGGTCGACTCTTCTTCAACTTGCAAAACTTCGAGGCTCGCCATCATGCACTCCATCGCACCTGCAACAGAGTGTAATAGCGAGCCGCGTCGATTGTAATACCTATTGGTGTATAGAAGTAGTAGGCATCGTCCACGAAGATGATCAGTAAACTTTGAGGGGAGTTTTGCGGATCTCTGCCTCTGTCGAGGTGAAGGGGAAGGACGAACGAATACGCAGAAGGCGAGCAGTCTTATTTCATGCGGATGCTGTGAGTAGAGCACGGGAGAGGCCTGGAAGAGGCTGTGGGCATCGCAACTATTGTACGACGTCGGTGATGACGGATCGATGAAGAGCGATATGGGCATTCCCATTCCCCTCACATGCGATCCCGATGCGACGCGCGAATAAGTGTGGGCAGACAGGTAGTGACTGAATTGATAATGGAGGATAGAATGTATGTGTAAAGATACAGCTTGTGTGGTAGGCAGACACTGCGCGTGAGAAAGTTCCCTAGTGAAGTTGAGTTAGTTCAGTGACTTGACAGCGTGGTGAAGCGATAGGTCAGAAGGAAGGCAACGGAAGGCTCCACATGGTTTTTATGCGCTCTCGGCCAATCGAGTCTATGACTCTTTACATCCGTATTGGTAACATCTTGAATGCGACGCGACGCGTCGAGGAGGAAGAAGGAAAGCTCACCTATGCTCTGGCCATCGTAGCCATGTAAACGGCGCAGGGAGGGGAAAAAAAAGACAGAGGAGGGAGACAAGATGTCGACGACCAGGCGGGAGATGGATGGTGTCTGGAGGTTTGGGACAAGACGAAGAGAAAAAAATTTACGCGCGTCGCGCGCGTTACGAACCCAAGAGCCCCTCACGTGCGTGCTGTAACATCACGCCTGACAAAGGGGCAAGGCGGCGTCGGACGCGCATTCGGAATCCGCATATCACTCGCCATCGTTTGCTAATCCGTTACACAGGTCAGTATATCTTCTTGTCTTCTACCAACATAAACCTTCCCCCTCCCCCCCTCAACCCCTGGATCGCAGCTCAAACTATGACAGACGTTCAATCACTCATTGGACAATGGCCCCCTGCGCTCGATGAAGCCCAGGTCGAAGCCCTCAGCACTCTCGCGACGTCTTGGGCACTTTCCCATGGCTTGCTGTACCTCCCTGTGCTGAGCCCGCAACCGCCGGTGCCAGCTGCCGCCATCCATGCACCCATCTCTCTCTTCCCCTCCCCCTTCCCGCGGAAACTCTTCCTTCAGGCGCAGCGGATACAACGAACCTACAACAACCTCTACTCGAGGATAGCCATGGACACGCAGTTCTTGGACTCTGTCATGGGATCGGAAGAAGGTGTTGGCAAGGTGGACGAGTTCACGGGACAGTTGTGGCGCGGATGGAAGGCGCTACGCGACGACAATGCTCAGGTGCGTGGCTAATATATCTTCTGACCGTGTTTTCTGACAGAATCGAAGCCTCTTCAACTAGGATTATTCCGATCGGACTATCTTCTGCACTCATCGGAGGGCAAGGGTTTGTCCTTGAAGCAGGTCGAATTCAACACTATATCCTCATCATTCGGCTGCTTGTCACAACGGGCAGCCGCGATGCATAGGTATGCATATACATGCCATCATCTCACTGTGTTTAACTCCAGTCAAGGTACCTGCAGCACTCCAGTCAATATTTCGGCGTGTCCGAACACTTGAAGCCGGATAACTTCCCCTCAAATGAGACGACAGCCGGCCTGGCAGAAGGTCTTGCAGCTGCGCACAAGGCTTATGGAAAGCCCAAGTATGTGTTACGCTTGATTGATCAATGACTTCCCTCTCATGCACAATAGGTCTTTTATTCTTTTCGTTGTCCAAGGTGGCGAGCGAAATGTCTTCGATCAGAGGTGGCTCGAATACGAACTGCTCGAGAGGTTTGTCGTCCTCATACAGTTGCGAATTCATGCTGATGCCGGCTCAGACATGATATTCATGTCGTACGGCAATCGCTCGATGAGCTCGCCGCGTCCGCTTCTGTCGACGACAAGAAGGTGCTTCACATCGCGCTTACCTCGTCCTCCTCCATCGAAATCTCTACCGTCTACTTCCGCGCCGGATACACGCCCACCGACTACCCCACCGCCGCCCACTACCAAACCCGCTTCCTCGTCGAACGCTCCGCCGCCATCAAATGCCCCTCCATCCCCCTCCAGCTCGCCGGCGGCAAGAAGGTGCAGGAGGTCCTCACCCAGCCCGGCGTGCTCGACCGCTTCCTCGACGACACCACCCGCGCCTCCGCGTCCGAGATGCGCGCGAGCTGGATGGGCATGTGGGGCCTCGACGTCGCGCCGGACGGCCTGACGGCGGACACGGCCCCGGGCGAGCCGCATGGCGTGCGCCGCGCGCGCGAGCTCGCAGCGCGCCTGGTGCTCAAGCCGCAGCGCGAGGGCGGCGGGAACAACGTGTACAAGGAGGCGATCCCGGCGTTCTTGGACACGCTGCCGCCGACGGAGCGCGCGGCGTGGATTGCGATGGAGCTGATTGAGCCGCCGGCGGGCGCGGGGAACTATCTGGTGCGCTCGGGGGGCGGGGCGGCGGTGCGCACGGAGGTGGTCAGCGAGTTGGGCATCTTTGGGTGGTCGTTGTTTGGTGGGGGGAAGGTGGAGGAAGAGCGCGAGGTGGGGTGGCTTTTGCGGACGAAGGGGAAGGATAGCAACGAAGGTGGCGTGGCCGCAGGATTCTCCGTGTTGGACTCCGTGCTGCTCGTGGGGGAGGCTGCGTAGTTCAGCTTTTGCAGGAGGTGGACAGCCGACTCGAGAAGGACAAGGACACGATCGGGCCCCTTCGCTAGGATCGCGAGTCTGGCGTCGGCGAGTGCATCGCGGTTGCGAAGAAAGTATCAGAATCGTCTCAATGTGGCTCGCCCAAAACAATGGGAAGCGCAAGCATTGTGCTGTAGTACGTGTATGGATCCATATTATTATTCATACTTGGAAAACCAGCCCAGAATCTGGGACTCTCCCGGAATTTGGCCTCCGAGTTCATGTAATTCGTCCTGAGTCAAGGTGCCCCTATAAGTATGCCGCTGCGCG